ATTTAATCTTAGAAATTTCAGGGCCTCAAAGCCTCTAAAGAGGTGAGATATTTTTGCCTGCCAGTTTATAGAAGACATAGGTGAAGTTCACAGAAGGGATTTCACTTGCCTGAGTTGGCCCTGTTGGGGTTCCTGCACACACAGAGACAGGCTCTCCTCACTGCACCCCACTGCCGGTCCTGGTCTGCAGGCTCTGCTCTCACCCAGCACCTGTTGTACAATGCACTCAGGAACTATTTGTGGAACAAATGGACGGTGCTCCGGGTGGCTCCCTCGGATACCTTTCCAGCATGAAAACCAAGAGGACTTGCTGTTCAGCACAGTGACAATTGTCTCATATTGAGGGCCTTCACCGGTCTCTGTTTCATAATAGATAATGTGTATCAATTAGAGTACCCTGTTACAAACAAGAGAGACAGACTCTGGCTGATTTAACAAAAAAGGAACTATTTAAGGAAAACTGGGACATCCACAGGATCACCAGGAAGTCTGGCAAAGTAGTGGGGGCCACGCTCAGACTCGCCATGCCAATCATGGCCGGGGCTGGTCTGGTGACAACAGTTGTCCCCTCCCCTCGAGATACCACGTGGCTGGCCCCTCTGTCCTCCCCGACGTGCCCCTGCAGCTGGAACCCCATGATGCTGCATCTGCCACACTCCTTCCACCTCTCAGGGCACGGGGGATGGGGGCAGCTCTCAACGGGCAGAGCCTGAGTCACATCCCCACACCCCAGCTGGAAAAACAAATTTCACCAAGTGGGTAATCTCCCAAATCTAAGAAGGAGTTCAGATCTTGGGCAGCCAAAAACCTGACATACAGCAACCCATCCTGTTTCCTCCGAGCTTTCTCTTCTTTGGACAGACACCTTCTCTTCCTTCATCCTAAACTCATGGGTGAGGCTTCTAGATCCAATTACCACCTGTCATTAATATTCGGTATCCAGAATTGACAGTAATCCTGCAAATGGGGTCTGACAAGCCCAAGGTATGATGAGATTATTTCTTTCCATATTCAGCCCCTTAACTTCCATTAATGCATCATAAGATTTCATTACTTTTCTAGGCAGTCATACTACATTGATGACTCATGTTGGCTCACATTATGCTTGTGGTCGATTCAATTCCCAAGATCTTTTCCTATGAGTGGCTGTTAAGCCAGGTCTTCTCAATCATTGACTTATATAGTTGCCTTATTGAACATGTGCACATTTAACTGAGTAATATAACACTGTATTTGTAATACTTCAACTATTTAGTTCACACCCTTAAGTTCTTTTACACTGTAGTACATTTTACTTGGCTACTTCAATCTCAGACTGCAAGCTGGTGGCCTGTGGGCCAATTTGGCCATGCATTCATTTTGTTTGGCTAATATGGTGTTTTTTTTTGAGAACTGAATCGGTTGCCAACTATTGAACATCAGGAGATCTCACATAAAAAAAGCAGGCCTTCCAGCTTCTCTTGAAAAGTAGGAAGATCTGGCAATACTAAGCCTTCCTTTTCTCTAGGCCACTTGTGATTGGCTGGAGCTGAGTAACACTACCTCCTTTGCAAGGTGCAGGCCCTGCCATGCTCTATTGCTTCATCCACTTTGCACTGCTTCATGAATTTCCACACCTTGTGTTGCTTCTGGGTACATTTGGGATTGCAACCTGTCTGCTGTGGGAGTTGGTTAAGGCAGGAGCTATAAAGGGGTAGAGTAGAAGCAGAGGAGGTCTGAGAAAGGTGGGGCTCAGTGGCCCTGCGCTTGCTCTTGCATGGCCTCCATAGAGAGGGAAGCTGAGCACAGAAGGGTGACTCTGGGTTTCTGGCATGTGCGTCTATTTTCCTGTCTGCGTGGCATGCCCCTTATCCTAGAAATTCTCACCTCTCCTCCTGTGTGATGCCTGAGTGTGCTGCCAGGTTTTAGATGATCCTGCTCCTGTGGCCAGCACATTGTGGTCCAGAGAGTGACCATCTGGGCCAAGCTAGATGATAGGGTTTTAAAACTTCCAGTCCATGACAGCATCAGATGAGTATCTTTTGTCAGGGGCTGAAGCCATCGGATGAAAAGCTTTTGGAGCTTTGACAGTGTTTCCTATCATGTGGGTTGGGAAAGTAGAGGCAACAGGTGCAAGAGACAGAAAGAGCATAACATCATAGAGAGAAGAATGGAGAGCAAGACACTCTGTGGTCCCTCTGCAATAAGCTGGCCCAGCTCTTAACCTGGGGTCCTGTGAGGTGCTCCTGATTCTCAGTCTATTTTCCTCATTTTATTTTATTATTTTATTTTTTTTAAAGATTTTATTTATTTATTTGACAGAGAGAGACACAGTGAGAGCAGGAACACAAGCAGGGGGAGTGGGGGAGGGAGAAGCAGGCTTCCCGCGGAGCAGGGAGCCCGATGCGGGGCTCGATCCCAGGACCCTGGGATCATGACCCGAGCCGAAGGCAGATGCCTAACGACTGAGCCACCCAGGCGCCCCTATTCTCCTCATTTTAAACCTGGCTTGGTTTCTGGCATGCCACCTGCTTTTGGATCAAGTATTCTGTGGGTCCTCTTGAGAATTGCCCTTTGTTGTTCCTGAGGGAGAGTCAAAGAGTAAAAGGAGGAAAACGTGAGGGTGCTTCTGGGCACTGTGACATGGCCTCCGGCCCTCCTGGGAAGTCTTCTCCCAGGTTCCAGTCAGCCAGGCAGCTCAGGGATGCCATCCATCTCACAGGGTAGCCAGTGCTCATGTGAATAATACATACTGAAATCCTCACCATCAAGATGTCCACAAAGCAGCTTGCCAGGTTTCTAGGAACTGGCAACCTGGTATGAGCTCAGGATACCTGGAACTGAGATGTTAAGATGCACGTTCAAAACACCATTAGGTGATGATTCTGAGACCTTTATTTCATTATTTCCACAAATCTTCATTGAGCACATACTATGTGCCAAGAACTGCCCTTGCACTGGGGATCTTACAGAGTAAAAATATGTAGCCTATAGGGAAGCTCCATATTCCATAATCCAAAGGAATGTGATCTTAGTATGTTTTCTGGAGACACAAAAATTAACGAAATTCAGCCTCAATGATTTCATAACTATAAACCTTATCTCCCTCACATGTAAAATGAGGTTAAAATAATTATCTCACAGGGCTGTTTAGAGGATTAAAAAGAAATAATGCATAGGCACGTTCTTGGCATTTAAGCCACAACAAATACTACTTTCTCCCTGAAAAGTCGAAAAAGTTACTCTTAATTTCACGAACCACAGGTTAGCTTGGCTGGTAGGCGGGCCCTCAACACCTCTTCTGCTATTAGCCCTGGCAAGAACTCTCTGGCTTTGGGGTGCCTGGGTGGGTCAGTCGGTTCGGCTCAGGTCATGATCTCGGGGTGCTGGTATCCAGCCCCGCACCAGGCTCCCTGCTCGGGGGGAGCCTGCTTCTCTTCTCCCTCTGCCTCTCCCCCTGCTTGTGGTCTCTTGCTCGCTCGTTCTCTCTCAAATAAATAAATAAATAAATAAAATCTTTAAAAAAAATACCCAAAATACCCCAAAACTATCCGGCTTTGTAGCATCTAGCGCTTGGCCCATGGTTTGTGCGGGGTCGGGCCAGGATGGGAACAGGGCGCGCTGGGAACCCGAAGCGGCCACGAGGGGGCAGCGCACTGCAGGGAATCCTAGCGATCGACCCCAGCCCACTGCCAAACTTCCCTGCTGCTCCCGGTCCTCCGTACGTACTTCCGTTGCTCTGACGCTCCCAGAAGCCGGGGCGTCGGGAAGGAGAGCGCGAATTCCCCTTCCTGCGCCTCCCGAGGAGAAACTGGAGCGGGGTTCCCGAGACTGCGCCGCAGTGGGCGCGGCGCGGAGCCGGGTGCCCTGCGCAAGGGTGCGGGTCCAGCGGGCAGCGGCGCCGGCCTCGGACCAGCGACTCCGGGGAGGGCGGGCTGCCGCCGGGAGGAGTCCGAGGCGCCCTGGGGGCGCCTCAGCCAACCCGAGCGCCTTTCCCTTCTGCTTCGCGGGGCGTCCCCGCACCCATATCCGCAGCTCCAGGCTTGTCATTTCTGCGCACCGCCTGGAAGGGGGACCCGACCGGGAGCGCTGCGGGGAGTCGTCGAGGAGGATGCCCGGGTGTTGGCCCTGTTCCCAAGCTGCTTGCCGGCGCTGGCGAGAAAGGCAGTCGGGATAACACCGCCCAAACTTTCCTTCGCGGCAGCGTCGGGAGGAAGCATCCCTCTCTGAGGTTCGCCGAGAGCCGGAGCTAAGACTCCCGGCGCCCGGAGGGGACAGGGTCGACCATGCGCCGGAGGGCGCGCTCGGAGTTCCCGGGAGCCCTAGAGGTGCCCTAAGGGACAGGACTAGTCTCCGGTGTGCGCCCAGGCGTAGGGAGGTCCAGTGGGCGCAGCGTCTCCTTTCCTGCGCTCCTCACTGACCGTGACCTCTGCGCGCTCCCCGCGCACGTGCTCGCGGCCGAGGAAGAGGAAGGTCCAGCTGAACCCGCTGGGGGGTGGGGGGCAGGGACTCGTGGACAGGCCCAGGGCGCATGGAGGCGCCGTGGAGGCGGTGCGGCTCACCAGCGGCGCTGGGGAGCGCGCACGCTGAGCCCCGGTCTCCCCGGGGACCCGACCGGCAGCTCCCCGCACTTCCTGCCGCGGGGCTCGGGGCCGCGGGTGGCCACTGCGAGCGCAGCGCCCGCTGAGTGTCGTGCCCGGCGGTGCCCCTGGGCCCCTGCGCGGCGTAGGGCGAACAGGCGGCAGGACAGGTGTAGCCCGCAGACGCGGGCGCCGCACTCCGAAGGACTGTGTGGGCTCGGCTGGCCGGGAGTTGGCTCGCGGGGCGCGGAACTCGGGTGCTCACCACGCAGGCCAGTCAGCGCAGCACTTGGCACTGCCGCGGCCGGAGTCTCGGGCCGCCAGTCCGGGTGAAGGAAGTGCTGGCGGAGCCTGCGATCCTGATGCCCGCTGCCCGCGGCGGGTCCCGCTCCGGCCTCGGGACGTAGGCAGCTGCGCGCGGCCGCCGCCGGCGCCTCCCCCATGCTGCTCGGGGCGTCCTGGCTGTGCGCGTCCAAGGCGGCCGCCGCTGCTGCGCAGAGCGAGGGCGACGACGACAGGCCGGGTGAGCGGCGGCGGCGGCGGGCGGCGGCCACGGCGGCGGCGGCGGGCGAGGACATGGACGAGTCGTCGCTGCTGGACCTGCTGGAGTGCTCGGTGTGCCTGGAGCGCCTGGACACCACGGCCAAGGTGCTGCCGTGTCAGCACACTTTCTGCCGCCGCTGTCTGGAGAGCATCGTGTGCTCACGCCACGAACTGCGCTGCCCTGAGTGCCGCATCCTGGTGGGCTGCGGCGTGGACGAGCTGCCCGCCAACATCCTGCTGGTGCGCCTGCTGGACGGCATCCGTCAGCGGCCCCGCGCTGGCGCCAGCCCCGGCGGTAGCCCGCCCGCGCGCCCCGGCCCCGGCTCGGGGGCGGCCTCGGCGCTCGCGGGTGGCGGGGGCAGCGCGGCGGGCAGCGCCCCCGGCTCCCCAGTCTTCCTCCCTGCGGCGGCCGGCAGCGCCACCGCCAGCCTGCGCGAGCTGGCGACCAGCAGGAGTGCGCCCGTGGCAAAGGTGGGTATCTGCTTCACGGCGCGGCGCCACAGTGTGTGTGTGTGTGTGTGTGTGTGTGTGTGTGTGTGTGTGTACGGGTGGGGGGGCGCGTGTGCGTAGGGGGCAGTGATGAAGGGCAGGGGAGACCAGAGGTGGCCCCCCCAATGGCCTTCACCTTGCTCTTCTTTCTCCAACTAGCTTTTCTCCAGGGACTCCGTGAGTGTAACCCCTCAAGTCCCACTTGCCAACTCTTGGACGCCGTGTCCCCCCACCCCCTCCTCGCAGTCCCGTCCCCTTTCCCTCTGAAATGCACCTGCCGTCCCTCCGTCCTCCTCTCTGGAATCCCTTTTCGCGCCACCTGCACTTGCTGTGTGCCAGCATGCAGTCCTAAGGAACCTTGCCACCTGTTCATATGTGGTGACACCCCATCCTGCCCCAGGGTGGGCGCGCTTTCCTGTCCCCTGCTAACCTCTCATCCGTACAGTCCCTCTGCTGGCAGGGCCTGTTTCTCCACCTTTTTAACTTTGCTGGGCCCTCCCATCTCCCCAGAAACAGTCTTCTTCTGCTGGACCCCCGGACTATCCCTGCACACACCCTCTGCCGGCCTTCGGTGAAGTTAGTGCTTAGTTTCCTGGGTTCTGGCCGCGGGGGAGGGGGGAAGGGGGACTCTGGGCCTCCTGCCTGCGTTGTCTGGCCAGAGAGGATTGGGCAGAGGGAATTGTGTGACTGGGGGTTGGAGGAACATAAATTACAAACTCGTGTAACAGGAGGGAAGAAGTTCACCTGGAGGTGGAAGGAATATTTGGCCCAGCCTTCTTGGACTTGGTCGGTCAGGAAGCCCTAGACCTCTTGTGGGCTCTCAGGCAGGGTTGCATTCCCAGGTGGGACGTTATTTGAGTTTTTTTGTGCAACTACATTGTACCACGTCTTTCACTGTTTCTGTTTTAGTGAAAGGCTTTATCTTGGGGTTTCAGTGATTTGGTTTCAGAAGTTATTTAGAAGGTGTCCTTTCACACCCTCTGCTCCTCTTACTATCATGGAGGGGGGAGGAAAGCCTGTGGGATTCTGGGTTAAGTGAGAAGCAAGTATTCATGTTTTATATTTTCTTTAAATGTAGAAAATCCCATTTAAAGGTAAAAAAACATTGATCTATTGTAATTATCATTCATTTTAGAAAACACAACCTTGTTTCTCTACTTTTGACCGTTTAAGAAGCTGGTGGTGCATAAACCATTTAAATAATCCTTCCAATATGTATAATACAGAGAAGCTGGGAAAATTCTAACCGTCTGAATTGCTCAGTACTACAACATCTTTGAGGTTAAGAACTTAAGCCCTTGGGTATTGAGCATTGGAGGTAAATGCCCTACTTTGCCAAACTGGGTGTTTCCTATGGATACAGAATAATGGGCAGTCAAGAATAGTCAAGGAGTGTTTATGCTTGGGATCACTGCTGGAAGGCAGGTAGTTAAGTAGTTTTTCTTTGGTTAATTGTGATTAAATCCAGTTATGAGTGTGCTTGTTCCTGATTTTCGAACTTTTCCTTCCTGTCCTTGCTGTTTTCATCTAAGGTATTATAATTAAAGGTCTTTATTTGCAGAATAAGCGGGTTACCTCCTCATGCTCAGAGAACTGAATGGTTTGTGGAATGATGTTTGTAGTTAAACGCTAGGACATTTTGATGAGCATGTATTTACAGATGACCTCCCACTGCATTTTATGTGAATTGTGTTTGATCGGAGGTTAGGAGGTAACCTCTGAAATTTGAAAGGCCATAGCCTGAGGCAGCTCCTAGAACTCTGTGGCATTTGTGGCATAAAAAAAATTGTCAGAGGTTGAACTGATAACTTTTTACAATGACAGTAACAGGGAGTTAATTTTTTGTTGGCTGGTCTTGGGATTATTGGTGGACTTTCTCTAGGCATATGGAGCATCAGACTGTTTATAGCTGTCTGAGCTTCAGGAAAACTTTAGAACACAGTTTCTTTCTTTTTGTTGTGTTAACTGAGTGTGACCCTCACACCTTTCTTCACAGGCCCATCTCATTAGGACTGAGTTTGGGTTCCAGGAAGAGTCTGAATTAAATCCAAATTTTGATCAATATTTGATCATTTTCCAAAAGGCAAAATCAGTGAAGGTGGGGATCATAATATCTTCTAACTTTTTACTCACTGATGTATAAGTCAGTGGGAGTCTTCTTGGGCAGCCAGAAGTCCTGCATAGAGTGTTGCACTTTAAACAACCCTAAAATTTGACAGGCAAGTGCTTCAGCTGAAAATTAACTTGCAAATAGGCTTTTGGTACTTTACTGTGTAATGGAATTGCTTTGACTCCTCATAGCAAGGCTGAATGCTGGATGTTGCTGTATGTTGTTTAATAGATGGGCACTCATGTTATGATTTAACAGAGACCATATATGCCTTAGTAGCAGGTTTACTGTTAATGAAAGACTGTCTCCGATTTTCCTAGTGAGATGCTCCTCAAACCTTCTTTTGGACCGATGGGGATATGTAAACGTTGTAGGTATGTAGATAAACAAATATCTTCTTAGATTTTGCATTTACTTACAGTTAGACGTGGGGAATGCATCATGTATAAAATGGATTAATTCTTGTTTTGGTTTCACTTGGAGTTCATGAAATAATTTTTCTACACTCTTCCCTGGCATCTTTTTCATCAGGGTTTTGGTTCTCAGCAGAGCCACCTGGAATCCTCTAGCCTGGTTAGCAGAACCTCTCAGCTCTGCTTTCACTTGAGCCATTTGAGATGAGGCACTTTTTCAATCAGTTAATTATGCTGCCCTTGGAAATTTTATACCAAGTTACAGGTACCCACTGCCTAAGGTTAGGACTGTTGTTTTTTTTGTTTGCCTGTTAAGTGTTGCTTCTGAAAGTGATCTTTTAAAAAGTCCTGTTTTAGCAGAAGCATCCAACCATTGCAGTTGCTAAATGTGTGCTAAGTTTCTCAGCCTAACTTGTTTTTGTTTTGTTTTTACAGTTGTGTGAAGTGACCCCTATAACTCCCCCAACTAGCATTGGTTGAGGTGTTTTGGGGCAGCATGTTTTTTTTAAAAGGGTTTTGTAGTTCCAAATTGAGTAATTTCAAGAGTACTTTTTAATATGCTTTCATAAGAACCCTAATGTAAAACAATTCTATTTTTTTGAGTGATTTTTTTTTTTTTTTGGTGGGGGCAAATTTCTTGCCTTCTATTTGGGCATGCACAGAATTTACTGTGGACTTGGAACCCAGGCTGCTCGCAGGAGATTCCTGAGGACACTGGATTGGTGTCCATCCATGACTATGAAGGTGAAGAGGACAGGCATTTTTACAGATTAAAGAACTGTAGAAAATTTGGGTAATGCTGTTGATGATAAAACATGTAGGCATCAGAGCCTGCTTTGTCTGGGTCATGTACCTTGAAGTACTTTGGGATATGTTTCAATTGGAAATCTCTTCTGTATCTCTCAGCCAGTGTGACTGGGACCCTATAATGGGAAAAGTCAAATAAATTAGAGACTCCTACAGCTGATATCTATTAAATGTTTTATTTTATAAACACATACATATTTGTGTTCACCATGTTTTGGATGCAGGGCTAAGGACTTGTCTTTGAGTTCCAAGTTGACTTAAACCACAGCCAGAGTTTATGATTTCCTATTTGTTTCTTTCAAATGGAGAACAAAGAGACTTTCAAAGAATTCTGAATGGAGCACCTTCTAGATTTTAAACAATTCCCACTTAATGTCGTACGGTTTTGTTTTTGCCCAGTTTGATGATTTTAAAGAGGTCTGTCTTTGATGAGTGTTTCCTAAGTGGTCACCGTGTTTTTCCAAGGAGTGACTTCTTTTGCACTAAATGTCTTTTGTTTATATAACACTTCATTAAAGTTTATGTTTGCCATTTATCAGTATATTTGCATAAACATGGTGGGGAATCAAGCCAGTGAATTCCAAGTAAGCACAGGCGTCCCTGGGCAGGTGTGAGGGCTTGGACAGCAGTGGGCCAGGCTGAGCCTTCCAAGGGGTTGAGTGCTTTAGGCCATCGTATGGAGGAGATGGGGAGTTGGCCAGTCCAGCTGGTCACCTCTTGGGACGCCAGTTCAGAGAGAGTCTGCAGTTTCTGGATGCAAATCAGTGTGTGTTCTTTAGTCGTCAAAAGTTGGGCAGCTTATGTTTGAGATTTTTCTGTGTGAACAATTACTGAGTACCTATCATGTGCTGGGCGCTTTGGCATATGTTGCTTATAGAAAGCTCACCATAATCCTGTGAGGTGGGTGGCATAATTAACCAAGAGGGACTGATATATGGGCAAAATGGTCAAGTCAGAGAGCCAGGGAGTGTTGGGTTCTGGATATGTTTTCAGGCTCCGTTCCCCTGCCCTTTCTATTCTGTTTTGCTGGGCTGTATCATTAGGGTTTCGTTGTTGTTTGGTCTTGGATGTAATAAGGACTCCAGAGGAAATGGCCCAGTGCCTGGAGGCCCTCACAGAAAAGCCAGACAGCTCACAAGGACAGTGGACAAGTGGTTGACTTGTGGTCTCCGTGATGACAAGGGCAGACACCAGCCTTTGGAGACATGACAGATGAGTCACAGTGAAGTCCTTTTGGGTCTGTTTTCAGAAGGCCCCTGGGTGTGGAAACAGCACCTCTGAGACTTACAGCAGTGTTGTGTTTCAGGTTGTGGCCGGTTGGTGAATAATCTAGTTATCATTCATTGAGAGCGCTGTGGGCCAGGTGTTCACTGAGTGCCCATGTGTGCCAGGGCTTGAGTCAGCTGATGGAAATTCATCTCACCTGTTCCTTACTATGGCTCGGTGAGATGGGGCAGTGGAGGCACCAAGATTTCCTTGCTCAGAGACACACAAGGAATGGGGTGTTCTTGAAAGGTGAACTTTGGACTGAGAGGCTACCAGCTTCGTGGTTAGGGGAGGCCTCTCGCTCTGTAACAAACCCAGTTAATGAGAGACCAAGGTCCTGAACTTAAGTAGCACTCACTTGCTAGATCCATCTGCCCCCTGGCTAC